ACTGGTCCTGGCCATTAGCTTTAATATAGACTCGCCCAGCACTGGAAACGTCCAACTCCACCACAAAGGCCAATTTTCCAATTACAAGTGACCTGCCTCAAAGTATCCAATCAATGAACAGAGTTTGGCCATACTGAAAAGAAGTCATTTCAAAAGAAACAGTCAGTGAGTCTCCATGTTGTCTCATTCTGAAAGCAGTAATCTAAGCATCCAACTGCTGCAATAGCAACACTGAGAGCAAGTGGTACATTCTGTATGGGCACAAGTAGCATTAGGAGTTTAACTTGGAATGTGTTAGATAAAGCTACGGCCAAGCAAACATATTTTTTACCTTTTGTTTTCTCCTTTTAAATTCAACTTTCACAGTGTCAAGCCAAAGGTCAGAACACGCTGCCATTATTAAAAGGTTAAAGGAGGTCTTTTGTTGCAGTCTCACTGTTATGCTATTTATGTATCAAATTGCAAATCAGTGTGTGCATCTATAAGCATGCTATAAATAAGTTACAACTTATGGAGTATCAAAAATCTGATTAAGACAAAAAGCAATTAAGTAATAAAGATACAGTAAGCAGAACCATGACAAATATACTAGCCATGTGTTTGGTCTTGTCTGGCTCTGAGTTTGTAATTTTATGTAGATTTGGTCTGATACTGTTCTAGTCCTGGCTTAGTCCAAGTCTAGCCATGTTTAAGTTCCAAGTTTAGTCTTGGTTTAGTCCACAGTTTCATGCATTGTGTGTGCAAGTGTGAACACACCCTAGAGAAACTGTGACTGGAACAGTCTGTATTTTAACTGCTCTTATCACCAAAGTTTAAAAGTATACCGAAGCACTCAAGAAGCCTTCCTCCCAGCCCTCCTGCTGAGAAAACAATCGAAAATGATGTAAAAAATGATTCCCCCATCAACAAATCCTCTCACAGCCTCTATACGTCTTTTCATGATTGCCACACGATATATTTTGGTTCTGATACTGATGTTGTGTATGTCATGCCGTGTCTAGAGCAGTGGAGTTGCTTGTCCTGATTACTAAGAGCTGACAGATTGCTGCTTTATCTAAACATACAGGTGCTTGAGATCTGAATCTGGTGCAAGGCCAGGGCTGTGATTGGCTTTTGTATTGGAAATTGTATACACTACTGCTTTATTCAACAGAAAGGCCCCGACTGACACGCAAATGACCGCCGTCTCACGCCATCACAACACAGCTTCAATCTAGACTACTCTCATATGTTTTGAACAATTGCACAAAATAATTATGCATAACATTTTACAATTTTATGTACAAGTACTTGCCAAGGCATATAAAATATCAAACAATTTTGTACTGTTAGTTCTACTACAAGGCTACCAGTACTAAATTTTGAGTAAACAAGCATGGGACTGGAGGGGATTTGTGTAAGGAACTAAGATTTTTTTTTCCATGTGTTTACATTTAGCCTGTACAAAAGAAGCTGTTGAGTTACACCATCTTACAAGTTGAACTTGCAAAACAGCACTACAAAACTATATAAAAACATAAACAAATACATTATGAGGTGAACCATTATTATAAATTAAATCAATCCCACCTAGTTTCGTTCTCATAGACCCAACCTCCTGTCTCATCTTTTGTGTGAATTATCCATTGTCTCACCTTAAAATATTGTACCAGATACTTGGACTACAACAACAGTGACAAAAATTACTATTATCACATTTGTACCACTCCTTCGTCACATGGTTAAATTTTTTTTTAAGAAATACATATTTACACAATCACATACATATTCATTTTATCACAATTGCCACACATTACCTCATGTACCCTGAGCCTTACAGACACCTTTATTCACCCCATATGCTTGAATCAACTGCTAATGAGAATTCTCACCACAAACTGCGTGTTAAACATATTACGTGCGTGAAGAACCATCGCAACCAGTTGACGGTATGATGACACTCTGCCAGGGAGGAGCTGCTGTGTTGTTTCTGTATTTTTACATCAAATACGTCACAGATGCTCATACGGCAACACCAGTCAAATAATAGTCTTTTTGTGGTTTTACGTTTCACCTTTGACATTACTATGACTTATTAACATTATAAAGTTTTCAGTAGTTTGCCCTCAAAAAAAACAATCCCTCACAAAGATATAAGAAATGTTATGGGAATTATGTTTGAAAATATTGCTCTTATGTCAAATCTGATTAAAGAGATCAACCTACCAACACTATCCATAAATTCATAGTAACTACACTAGCAATGAGGCTTGGATTTAATGTGCTGATTTTGCAATGATTTACAGTGATTTATAAACATTGTATCTTTGACTTGTTTAGTCAAGTAATTATATCAGTAATAAATAAATGGTTAATTGTGAATAGATACATATACACTGAACTGTCTTTTAAGTTAATCAGGCTGACAGAAATTAGTTTTGCTTAAATATCATATGCTGTCCTGAAAAAGCTGCCAGTCTTTCTGCCATGTTTCTCAATATTTTCCTGTCCTCATTAATTATGAACTAAACCTGTCTGCCAGAGCAGTAGGACTAATGTGTACTTGTCCTTGTGGGCCGTACAGACTGGAGCTGGTTGTGTTTTCCATTCACCATGTTGCCAAGGCAGAGGTGGTCATGCTGAGGACAGGCCATGCTTCAGAACAACCTGAAGATACAGAACAGACTAAACTTACACAACAAAACACAAAACAGTCACTTTCCATATAGCGCTGACAGTTGAAACTGAAGCAAAGAGCAGAATTTTACTGTAGCATTTTCTGTTTAAGTTTAGGTTTGGTTTAATTATCTGTAATTTTTGAGCTGTTAATACAAAAGATAAACTCACTTCAGTGATATTCCGTTTCCCATTTTAAATATTTTGATATGTGTTCTCACTTCAAAGAGGTTTATTTCAGTCTTCCAATATTATTTCCAAATAAAGGTTTGTTTTAATATGGTATGTGTAAACAAGGGTCTGTTAAAAAGAACCTTTATTTGGATATGTGTTCTCAACTGTAAATTAAGCAGGACATTTCTTTTTAGAATAATTGCTACTGCTCATTAAAAAGTATGGAGTTATACATTTCTGTAAAGTGAACGTAAGATGTTGAAAGGCTTTAAAGGTGCACTACGTTACCTTTCTGGTGGAGTATTATATTTTTATATTCTACAGTATATAACATATACCACCAGACCAGAAGTTACCAGTGGATGAGATCTGTGGAGAGGAGACCCCACTCAGAATAAGAATATATGTTTTTGTTTTAACAATAAAAATGCCCGTATATGAATAAATACAACATTGATAAGTTTAATGCCATACTGGGGAAAAAGGCATCTCTATGGGTGACAAGCAGGTGTTTGACCCCCCAAATGAAAACAAACTTACACAGTCCACCTGTCAAGTCAAAAGGCAATCAAGCTTTTTTTTTGATTGATTGACTAATTGATTAATTTTTATTTCAAGTTTGTGCAAAGAGAGAAACAATAATCATGCATACTACATATACAGATTGTCATTCTCAGGTGAACTTAAATCACAATTCTGTTGTGCTGATCAATTTTAGATGATTAGTGGTAGATTTTTCTAAATGATCTTAGAATTTGTTTTTGTTTTTTGGTCTATATGTAAACTAGGCTGATAATCCATAGGCTGTAGGACTGGTTTATATTACAGGGTCTTGTGCACGTGTCCTATTATACATTTGGGAACATGCTGGCTTTATTACAGACCAATAGACCAGAGGCTCACTCGACCCTGTTATAAACCTAATGCACACCCGTTGGACAAGCAGGCTTAGGTACACCTATCTGATTTCACTCTACTAACAAAAAGGTCAGCAGCATTAGCTCCTCTGAAATCACGTAAATAGATGCCCCACTATACTCACAAGAAAAAACTGACAATCATACAGATGGAATATTATATTGGGTTACTAATTGCATAGGTCATGTGTTACTTACAGTTGTGCATGGTGCCAGGGCTTCATTTTACAATTTATGCTTGAGCTACAGTAGTGCCACCACACAGCAGTTACCAGGCTACTAAAATGCAGGCAAACAGTGCAGGATGTAAACTATAGCAGGTTAACTTATGCTTAACTTAAAATGTTCTTTTGTTTTTTGCTCCATGTAAATGTAATGAATGTTTTTCTCTCAGAAAGAAGACCTGTAGAAAGTGATAAGTGGTTAAGGTGCTAAAGTGATTGAGGCAGGTTTGAGTCACAGGCACCAGGCTCTATCTTTAGACTGCCTGTGGGGTATTTCGATTTACACATATGGGAAAGTCAATACAAATTGGACTGGCACAGCTCTGAAGAAGTAGATACACACACAGCTGTGTAACACTTTTGTGACGTTTTTACATTTCGCACAGAAATCATGGAACCTTGAACATAAAAATAACATGTTTTTTTTAGAGTACCACAGTCATAGTACAATAATGGGCTATAAACAGATCGAATAACCACAAGTACAATTATAATAACTTCTCAGTGATGACAGTATTGTGGTCCATGAATATTAGTCCATGAGTATTATTGAGATTGTTTGGTCAATTCTGATGCAAAGATGGTTCAAGTAGCCTGTTTGCCCAGAATCAGCAAACATAAACCTTTTTTTTTTTTTGTAAATAATAAACAAAGTGTTTTTTTTTTTTTTTATCAAATAATGAACTGAATTATTAACAAACTTTTCTTATGCTTTTACTTTATTTACCAAAAATGCATGCTAATTTACCTGCAATAATTACCATTTTTGTTATTTGAATGTGTTTCGCTTTGCAAAGATTTAGCCGAGTAATTTCTAATATTGACAAAAACAATACAAACTCTTCTGTGTAGCTGAGGATTTGGCAGCTGTGACGCACAAAAAACATGATAATTTCGGGCTTTGGTCCTGCTCCCCAAACTGGAGGAGAGGCATCATGACGCATGACGCTTTGGGGAGGCGCGACTACTTCTCCTATAAATTCCCTGTCAGTCGCACTCAGCCCTCAGACAGAGAGCGTTCATCTCTCTCGCATTTGAAAGGGATTTTTATTCTATTACAGAGCATTGCAAATACCAGCAAGAATGATTAAGAAAACGTCCTCATGCGAAAACGAGTTTGACATACCGGCCAAGAACTGCCACAGGATGGTCATTCTGGGCTCCACAAAAGTTGGAAAGACCGCTATCATCTCTCGGTTTCTCAACGAAAGATTTGACGAACACTATACACCTACAATTGAGGACTTTCACAGAAAATTCTACAGTATCCGAGGACACGTTTATCAACTGGATATTTTGGACACGTCTGGAAATCACCCATTTCCAGCAATGCGCAGACTTTCAATTCTTACTGGTAAGTCCATCCATATTATTAAAAGTATTTATTTGATCATCAACTGACTTATTATCATTACAATAATACAAGTAGCCAAACTAATAAACCTACTTGTCTTTATAGGTGATGTGTTCATCTTAGTGTTCAGCCTGGACAACAGGGACTCGTTCCAGGAGGTGCAGCGTCTGAAGCGCCAAATCCACGAGACCAAATCTTGCCTGCGAAACAAAACCAAAGAGAACGTGGATGTCCCACTGGTCATCTGCGGCAACAAGTGTGACAGAGACTTTTACCGTGAAATCCAGGAGGAAGAAATCGAGCAGCTTGTTGGTGGAGACGAGCACTGTCCGTACTTTGAAATCTCGGCAAAGAAAAACATCAATGTGGACCAAATGTTTCAAACTCTCTTTACAATGGCCAAACTTCCCAACGAAATGAGCCCCGACCGTCACTGCAAAGTTACGCTGCAATACTGCGAGGTGCTACACAGAAAATCGTTCAGGAGCAAGAAGTGCAAAGATGGGAACGCGTATGGCATTGTGGCACCGTTTGCGCGCAGACCCAGCGTGCACAGTGACTTGATGTACATAAAAGAGAAAGCCGTAGGCGGCAGCCAAACTAAAGAAAGGGGCTGCACCATTTGTTGACTGTTTAAAATTTTATTTTTTATTTATTTTTTTTTTGGGGGGGGGGGGGGGGGGGGACTACGGATTTGTGTGAAAGTTTACGGGGGCACATCAACCCTTACTACAGTGGACGTTTTGGTCCATGCAGAATCAAGTGCAGCTGTCTCACCTCATTTTTACAGGCTATATTGTAGTAATACAGTAGATGCTCTGAAATGTCTTAGGTCTAATCAATGTAGCCTCTTGTGGCACTTAAAAATGTTTACATTTTTGCTACCTGACTTGAATGTATGTAGCTGAACAAATATGAATTTTATGTATTTATTGTCTACAACTTTTGTACAAAGAGAAAATAAAAAAACTTTATTAACGCTTATTTTGAATTACCCCTTTTTCCAGCCAGAGAAAATATTCAAATTTGTACCTTCAAGTGAAGTCAAGTAAAAATGACACAAGGATGCCCAACAAACTGTAAATTAAAAACTGAATGCATTATGACTGAAAGAAAATTAGAAAAATTGTTTGATAAATAATTGACCATCACTCAAGAAAAAACTTAAATATGATCTACACAACAAACCACATACCTTTATGAAATGTGTGCAGTAGTCTGACAAAGCCAGTGGATTTCATGGCTACTGCAAGAAAACAGGATATTAGTTGTAACTGCAGACCTTCAAATTAAGATATCAATCCGATTAAGACTACATGTCCATGTCATAAGGGTATTAACCATTGAGAAATTCACTGAGTAAAATGGAAACCAACATTTATTACAAAATCCTGTACAAGGTTAGACAACAATAAAATGAAATTTCTGTGAGAAAAACATCTTTTACAAACATAAACTATGTCCTATCAAGAAATTTTAATATCCATACTTTTCAAACCTATGCTATTTTTAGTCCCTGTTTGGATATGAGGATACTGTGTCAGTCTTAGCAGCTGACATAGAGACTGAATATTTGGTTGAGTCCTTCAATATCAGAGTCAAGTCCAAGGTCACTTCCAAAAATGTGTTTGGAAAATGTGTTTTGTCTCTTCTTTACTAGAAAGCATTAAGTCCATTATCCAGAAATGACAGGAGACACATCTGGGTTACAGTAGCATCATGGCATCTGAACAAAAATCCAAGATGAGTCACGAAATTCAACGCTGGCTTTGTTAGATTTCCACAAGGCAATTATCCAGTTCTTGAATCAAACTGACAAGGATGTTGCGTAGATCTTGTGAGCCACAGTCTTTTGAGTACATCTGTACATCATGATGCTTTGGGCACATCAAACATACATAGACCTTTATACTTGTGCAGTAGTTGGTTCTTTGTGCGCACTTGCTCCCGTAGCGTGCAGAGCTGCTGCTGCTGCTCCTGTGGGCTGCACTCGATACCGGGCATGTTGGAGATCTGCTCCCGTGCCTCCTGGATCTTAGACTTTAGCTTGGTCAGTTCTTGGTGGACATCCTGGCTATCTTTGTCCATGCTAAAAAAAAAACAACAAAAAAACAAGTTAGTGCAAAAACAACCCCCCCCCCCAAAAAAAAAACAACAACAACAAAACAAAACAAAAAAAAAACACAAAAAATGGTAGCGAGTGAAAAGTGCAGCTAGCCTAGTGTGCTCGTATAGCCAATTCACAAACACACACATTACAGCAGTAACATACAACATTGAAACAACCAGACGCACACACATAACAACATTACCATTTTATAATATCGTGAACCAAAGGTAATAAAGACCAATCTTCATTTTCTTTCTCTTGAGTGGGCTGAGCAGTCGCCATCATGATTCACCGTGGCGCGGAAATGTGACGTCACAGGATGCGACAGCTAAACATTTCTTTTTCTTTCTACCATTATACTTCTATACTTTTTACACATGGATGATTTTACATTATATATTACGCCTATAATATATACTCTACACAGTACTTTTACTTGAGTAAAAGACAGAAGCTTTATGGTAACAGTATTAAATTAATTGTGTTTCTTGCACTGTTTCTGCAGATATTAGTTAGCCTACTTTTCTTATTTTTGTGATCTACTCTGAAAATACCCTTGTCCATTATTTAATGTTTTGTCCTTCCAGTTAACCTTACATTAACATTAACTTAATTTTTTTTTACTCTGTTGGACTACCTGATCATTTTCATGGAACACTGTAGATCTGCAAGAGGTAGTTTGGCTGTCCACCTCACATTAAGCATGAAGCATAGGCCTTTAATAATTAGGCTATGTTTTATAGTTGTTATAGTGTCACGAGTGTTGAATGCACAGTGTTTGGTTGAATGCTCAAATCAGGACTAAATGAAAGTAGGTTATTTTTTTCTGCAATTTATTACTGATAAGTTTTCATTTATCCTTTAACTAGAATGAACTGATAGTGACCCTCTGACCTTGTAAAGCCTTTAACCTACATCTTTATGAACTAGGGCATATAATGCACAGAACAAACATCAATCACTGGTGTCAAGAGATTTGCCTAGCAACTTCAAGTAGGCTGTCTGTCTTCAATATAGGCCGCACATATGAGATAGTGGCTTAAAATGAAAAGTGTGCATATATAGATGCGCCAGGTGTGCTAACCATTTGGTCTCATGTTTAATCATTACCCTTTCTGTGACGCCATCCTAATGCAAACTTTGATGTAGTCGCCAAATTTTAATTTGAACTTTCAAAATGACTAAGTGCTCTTCTGAAAAAGTTGTTGTTTTTTAGTCCATTGATGTCTTGATATTATTTAGCCTACTGAAATGGCCACAGAACAGCTCATTAACACATAAAAAAAAGATAAAAGATCTTGTTTGATAGAAATACAGGTAGGCAAAGTAAGCGATTTATTTATTTGTGAAACTTGGGATCACAGGCTAGGCCTACACAAACAGGTATTAGAAGTTTATGTGTATATTTTGAAGCCTATTGAATTAAACTTACCATATAATTGATGAAGGGACAATGAAAAAAAAAAAAAAAAAAACAGTATTATTATTTATTCAATATTGCACACAGGTCTACTGAGAACACATCTTCATTTAAAGTGACAACCTGGCCAAAATATATAGCCTAAATAAATATATATGAATGAACTGTGCCAGTTTAAGTAGCTCAAAGAGAACAGAGGCTACATCTTGATTAAATTTCAAGCCATCATGCATTAAGTTAAATAACAAAAGGGAGTTTTTCCGTCATGCTGCAGGACCATCACTGAAGATTCATACGTTCATGAGTCTTGACAGTAAAGAACTATTAGTATGAAATTGAGAGGGTGTGTTCATTTTTGCAACACTTGTGCCCCCTAGTGAAACAACGTTTAACATGCATGATGATCAATTATGAATTATTTTTGTTTTATTTTCATTCAGTTAATTAGCCCAAAGCTTGATACTTAAATGCCAATAAATGTAAAAGTAGAGATAAAAATAGGCCCAAATGTCATGTGTCCAGAGACTGAATATCAGTCTAAAGTAACATTTGCCATTTGTTTGTTTGCGTGTACAAGTATACGAAAGATACGGGGGGAACAGAAAAAGTCTCGACCTAGCCTAGTGTTAAACCGTTCCTGTCTCGGTCCTCGGACCGTGGTCAAAGGACACAGGGGAGAACCGTCTTCGTCTCCAGGGCCAAAGGGGCGCAGCAGCCGCTCGTCCCTCGGGGTTTAACTCCCGTGTTCGGAACCTCCAGTGAGTGCGTGGGCTCAATAAACAAGTCAGGTCTTCGCTCAAGACTCGTGGTTTTATTTGACGTACTGCACTAAATAACATGGCACTCGTTCCGGTCGCCTCCTTACCATTCATTTCACACACTGAAAAACCAACCAGACAGACACCCGTACGCTCCGCGGGCCCATTCAAAAACGCGTGCCTCGGGGGCGCGCACGCAGTCCCTCACTCACGCACACGCCACTTGCCACTCTAGACATTGCACATAGGAGTACATATATATATCTCACAACACTAGTCAACATAACCACTAGGTGGCATACTTTGATAATTTTACCATAGATTAGCCTAGTGTTTTGGCCTATAACGCCAGATATTCTTTCATTACAGATTATGCCTTGATAAAGTCTATATTTATCACATGTTATCTAAACATTTGCAAATAAAATTTAACTTCATAAAATATATGCATGAAACAGTGGTCTTAAAACAAGTATCGTGCAATATGTTCTCACAGTTGCTAACTTTGCTATAGTCACATCATAAAAAATAGGAATTTGTGAGAACATAATCGGTGATTTAACAGCAACCTGTCTGTGATTGATTAATGGTAAAAAGACTTTCATTGTACAGTGTATGCTTATCCCCCCCGGCCTGGCGGACACAGGGCACAAAACAAGCGAACCCAGCGTGCTTTTTACCTCAACGTAGTGACGTAAGGCCTTTGTGTTGACAAATCAGGGAGAGCGCTGGGCGGGCACATGGGCGGGCATTGTGAAGCCGTAGTTGAATACTAGCAGGCTAACTAGAGAAAGAAAGCTAACTAATCGTGAGAGTAGAAGTAGAGCTAACGTTAAAGGAAAAGGCAACTGTCAAAGCAGCAAGGGGAACAGCATTTCAAGTGACGTGATAAATCGTGTAAATGACTCAATGAACATACTTCTAACTACTTAATCAAAGACCGTGCTATCAGATGCCCGAGGAGCAATTTGGATACTACAACGATTGTCCCATTTCCAAACGGAAACCATCTCTGGACACATAGTTCGAGCTAGCTTGGTAGCTAGCAAAGTAAACCATCCAGGAGACTCTTTATTGTCACCTAAATTCTCAAACTGAATGTTTCGTCTGTCATGAGTCCGGCCGGGTGCTCCCATGTGAACGGTTATAAGGTGGATAATTGGAAACAAAATCTTCGAGTCATTTACCAATGCTTTGTCTGGAGTGGTACTGCAGAAACCAGGAGACGCAAGGTAAAAAACTCCTTTCAAAAACACAGCAACTGTAACGGTACCTTGTGAGCAAAGTGATCACACTTCTCACCATGCACAGTATGCACAGTACTATACACAGTGCCACGGATCTAGGGATAAAGGCTGGCCCACATGATGCATTTAAACGCAGACTTGTGTTTACGTCCAGATGTGTCTTCTGTTAAAGCTAGGCTAGCGGTGGTATCACTTCTAGACCTGTAAATACACTTGTAAGAAACTGCTTTATAAAGTTCTACGACTTATCTCCTTGCGGTAGAGCAGTGCAGCTCCAAGTTTAATTACAGTGATAACTCTTGAATACCGTTTTACAAAGTAACTTGGTCAGACGTGTACGAGTTTGTTCAATTGGGGTTTATGTTTGAGTCAAATGGATCCATTGTGTTGGACTGGGTCCACTGGCCCGGTGCACTTCTTGTCTGCTGTCAGCCTCCTGCAGTAGTTCAGCCCGGGTTAGGAGGATGCTGTGACGCCTATGTGGCTGCTTTAGCCAAGATTTTTTTTGTTAGTCCCACACTCCAGCTCGGCCTACACACCTCTGAAGAGTGATGTAATCCTTGTGTGTTAGTTTTTCTAACTCTATCTCCAAATCTCATTTTACTAAGAAATGTAATATTACTGATTCTCTAAAACATAATGTAGCTAGATAGGTTATAGTCTTTGTAAATATACTGATTTTGATTTTTTTTTTTCATTCTATTCTGGTAAATAGGTACCTCAGGGAAATGCAGGCCTGTCAGTGGTGGTAAGTGAACATATACTCTTAATCTTATAAGCAACAAATAGTATGTAGTGTTCACTATTTCTACTGTTGTTTTGCTTCTTGGTAGTCTGCTTTGAACAGCAATATAATAATTACAAGGACTCAATAGGAGGTACAATTTGGCTTTAAAGCAGGGTTGCCCAAAATATTCCCCTCAACCGGCCAAAATGAATATGTATTTGCTGGCCTGGTGCCAAACCTTTTTAATGTTTTGATAAAAAAATAAATAAATAAATAAAACACACACCAAAGTTTTTTATGATAAAAGGGTCTTCATTTATTGTGCTTTTTAGTAGGATGGACTGCAGTGCTCCCTTTCATCTGATGTCTTTTCTGCACAAAATGAATGAAAATGGATCAAAATCTCAGCGCTCCCTTGCAGACCAAATTAGACCCCCCCTGTAACTTGGGTCCCACTTTGGACACCCCTGCTTTTAAGCATAATGATTGGGATGGGATGTCATATTTGTGTATTATACAGCATCAGACAGTATTGTGGCTACATTGTTTTTAGGCGTTTATATTTAGCAAATGAGAAAAGAATTTTAGTTCAGAAGCACTTTCTACTTGTGTGTGAGCATCATTGCTGTAATTGGCATAATTACAGTTACCTTGTTTATTAATTGTTTTTAAAAATCCTATTGAGTTCTGTTGAACTAGACAATAACATTGTGATGAGAAAGACGTTGTCAGGTCTATATTATAAAAAAAGTTTCTATGGTTTTCTATTGTGATGTAGGGTACAAGACACTGCATGCTGACTCAGAAGAAGAAATATTAGACTCATCTTTTGTATTATGCGTTGGTGAAATCATTCATTATATGTATAATGTAGGAGGCTTCCTGTCTCTATGCACAGAAAAGAAATTAAGCCATGCTATTATTTTCATAGAGTCAAAAGTGGTGAGATGAAAGCTGAGTGGGTGGGCTTGGCACTATTTTACAGCTCTAGCCTCTTTGATGCATTTGCTGTCATTTAGATTAAAGGACTAAGGGCCATGATTAGAGAGTCAACTGAAGTCAACTTTTTCATCCTCTGCTTTTGATAAATCATATATGATAAGAGGCCTTGTCACTAAAACCCTGCTTTCCCTTCGGAGCAAATCCTGTTGATGATGAGAGTAGGAATATACTGCACATTTTTCTTGTTGCTGCTAGAATCACAGAGGTAGGATTTACACATTAAGTGCCATACAACAGCGACCTCACTTCTCAGGAGATGCAGCCGGGCGTAGAGCAGATCTTTCTGTCAGATCTCTCTCCATCACATCACAGCCCTGCTCCCTGACTCATCAGCATACTTTCGACTATAGCGTGTTCCTCCTGCCTCCTCTTCATCCTCAGCTCCTCTTCTGTGCGCACTCCCACGCTTCTTCATCCTCTTTCCTTTTGCTTTTTATAATATCTTTTTGTACCTTGCTCAGCTTCCTCTTCCAACATCTCTTGAACATGCTGTTTCAAAATGAAGGATGCTTTTATCTTTTTGTTCTGTTTTTCTTCATAGTTGTTTAAAAATGCATTGCCTTGCTTCAAACCTTCCCTTTTTGTTCTCATTATGTTGAGTGCGTTTGATGATGTCAGACTTGAGGGTTTGGGCCCTTTCCAGTGCTGTTTCCTCCATGTTTCATTGGCTTGTCTGTGTCACTGCCTGGTCTTGTCTCATGTGGCTTGCAGGCTGTCAGTCATCGCGGCTGCTCTGTGAGTCAGACTAAACGAAAGGTCCATAACCTTCTTTCTGATTAGTGTTATGTCTGGTCACCCTGTGGCCACATTTCATATGCAACATTTCACCCTTTTAATCTCTGAGAACTGTATTTCTGCTTACCTGGGTATGTGTCTCGACTAGGGGCGGGAGATGGTATAATGAAAAATCAAACTGGGATCTGACTCTTGACTGTTCGCCAATTTGGAGAGGTCGTCATATCAGTGCTTTCTAATTTATTACAGAAGTGCCCTGTGCTCAATTTGTTCAGAAGTTTAAAGAAAAAGCTATTAAGTGTCCAGTAACGTTGATACTGAAAAGAAATTTGCATAAATTGGTCATTTCTTTGCTAGTTTTAGACATATCTAAGCTATACCTAAGGATAAATGGCTCATATTTTGAGTGTAAAATTGCCTTTAAAAAAAAATAAGTGTTTTTAAATAAACATTGCAGTATTGAGCCATTTCCTTAATTTCAAAATGGAGAAATGAAAGAAATGTTAGTATTGTGATGACATTTAGTGTACAGAATCAATAAATCAATATCATGACCTATAGACCACTCTATAGAACAAAAATGTGATCTCCAATTTCGTGTCACCCACCTCTAGTCCAGACCTCATTCTCTCATTCTCAATGTGCCCTTTCTAAAAAAATCAACTTGAGCTGTCCTGTTTATTCCCATCTGTCGCAAAGAGAACCTCATTATCTTAACCTTTTTCCCTCATATGCCTCCCTTCCACTTTAGAAGTGGAATAATGATGAAACTCTGAAATACAATCATTATGATGCAATGCCCAAGTCTGAATTGCACTTGTGATGTACTTACGCAGCGTACATAAAAAAATCTACACGTTGCCTCCAATTTCTGTGCGAGCTTTACCCATCATTGTCTCCAGCTTTCTCTCCCCTTTTGAAGTAGCAATGTCACGGTACTTCCCCTTTCACTGTGTCTTCACTGCTTCAGAGAGTGCTGATGGTCAGAGTTAGAGCAAACCAATAGGACGGCAAGCTCTCCAGCCCTCCTTTAGTTCTGCCATCTGGCTAATGAGCTGTCAATCACTCTCCGGGGGCCAACCAAGCCCAAAAAACCCAAAAGCCCATCCATCTTAACCACTACGAAAACTCAATTATTCACTTGCCTTTGTAAATCCTAGTGGCAACATTTTAGGGGACAAGCCATTTTACATTTTACTTACTGGGTAATGTTGCATAGATGATAGTATGGGAGTAAATGGGGAGACTGGTGTCTTTCTTCTGATGTATTGTCCATCTCTGGGCTGTTGTGGGTTGGCAGTGGGCATCTGGTAGCTGCAAGGTCTGACAAATGATCAGACAGTCTTTTGTTAAACTCCAGCTCCACTTTTAACCATCTGTGCTGACCAAAACAAAACAGTGCTCCGGCCTGCAGGGTCTGCCCTAGTGCCACGCATGTTTGGCTGTCTGCAACTATTTATAAGTGCTTCAGCTGTTTCCTCAGCCTATGCCACTGAACCTGTCTACTAAAAGGCGTCTCTCAACAACTACCAATGGAGATTACATTGTAATTACAACACATAAGATTTATATTATAGGGGCATTAGCATTTCAGAGTAGACTGAATTATTAACTGCTAATTCTACAGTCTTACAGCCTTTGCTGATTTGTAACTGTTCAAATAGCAATTCTTATTCAAAACTTTATCATGAAGTTCCCGTCATTTGCTTGTCTCCATGAAGATTTTATTTCTTTTTTTCGAATTTTCTACACTGTGCAGTAAGAATGCATGTTTTGGTGTTTTTGAGCAATAGAATCACCTGTTTTTAAGTAGATGCAAGATAGAAGTTTAAGATTTAAGGCTATTAAAACCCCACCAGTAAAGTTACATGGTGCATTTGAAGCCATACGAGAGGGATGAAACTGATATTCTTCTGAAGTAGAGGCCAACAGCCCCACCTACACAAATAAAAAATGTACTAGTTTAAGTGTTATTTGGCAAGAGAAATGGTGCAAAGCAGACTGTAAACAAGGGCAGAGGTAAAAAAAATGACATGCAACAGTTGTAGGTAATGTTTCATAGTGAGTTAGCAACTTTAACTACTCGATCTTACTGTGATTTAAAATTCATTCATATCATTCAGCTGTGAGTTTATTAACATGTAATATTATAATTGTATGTAGTTAATATTACCAGTACTGTAGATTATAATTATCAGCTTCATAGAAGAAATTGAACTCTTGACTTCCTGTTCAACCTTGCAGAACTGAGAGACCCTACCCCCTCATAGTGGCATTTCACTACAGCAAGAAGGTGATTACATGTCTTCATTTTTGAGAAATGGGCAAATAGCTATGCAGCATTTTTGAATTGTACATATATGAGTGACTTTTTTTTTGTTGTGAGTGGGGTGGGGGCAAGGTAAAAACATATTTTCTTGAGCTGTCAAGCTTCTAATGCAAGACCATAGAATTACTCAAATGTGCAGGAATCAATCAAAATGCAACTTTGAATAATACATTATTATTCATAAAAATGTATGAAGAGGTATAACCATGTAGACCTGTAAGGATCATTATTATATCGACTTATAGCTCAATTATCAAAACTGGAACCATATCATTTGGGGCTCAGTATGTGCTGTGTGTATAGATTCTTTGTAAAAGTGGAGAAATTTAGGTATTTTTGTTGTAATACAATAAGATTTGAGCTGTAGATGTTAAATAAGTGATCCTATGGCTAATTATTGGTATCTGTTGCAGCTCAGACCTTTTAATGATACAGTCTATTTAAAAACAGTTCACTAGGATTATCCAGTTTTATTGTTATTGTGTCAGTGGAATAAAGTAGTTTCAATATTATCGTTTTTCACACTATATCTCTGTTGTTATCATTTTGTTATCGCGACTTCATTCTGACATTGGCTCCAAGTTCATAAAACTCTATTTGGCTTGTGGTTTCCTTTAACTGAATAGCACAGTGTGTTGGGAGGCTTAGTCATGAACACATTCCAGTAAGATCTTAATTTTATCCCATGTATTATATAAGCCATCCAATTAAAAGCAGCAGCAGCAGCACTTTGAAGCTACAGTGCAATGGCAGCATGGTGAGTCACTGCTTTTATGGCTCTTGTTGTATGAACATGCTCAGTGAAGGCAGCCCATTGTCCAGGATCACCACTCGCCCTCCTCACTTACATCTCATCGTATTACTGCCTCATATACCAACGCATCAACACAGAATGAGACAGAGCGCTTTGAGAACAGCTTGTTCTACTGGGCTGCACAATATCCATCCATCCATTTTCGTCCGCTTATCCGGGGCCGGGTCGCGGGGGCAGCAGCCTCAGCAGTGACTCCCAGACTTCCTTCACCCCAGACACGTCCTCCAGCTCCTCCGGGGGAACCCCGAGGCATTCCCAGGCCAGCCGAGAGACATAGTCCCTCCAGCGTGTCCTGGGTCTTCCCCGGGGCCTCCTCCCGGCGGGACATGCCCGGAACACCTCCCGAGGGAGGCGCCCAGGAGGCATCCGGAACAGATGCCCGAGCCACTTCAACTGGCTCCTCTCGACGTGGAGGAGCAGCGGCTCTACTTAGAGCTCCTCCCGTGTGACTGAGCTCCTCACCCTATCTCTAAGGGAGCACCCAGCAACCCTGCGGAGGAAACTCATTTCGAGCGCTTGTATCTTGTCCTTTCAGTCACTACCCAGAGCTCATGACATAGTCTTCGTTCCTACTCTCACCTATGGTCATGGGCTGCACAATATATCGCAATTCAATCAAAAATGCAGTTTGAAGTGTTGCAGTTTCAAATCGCAAAGGCTGCACGTCCCATGTAAACAACAAAATTTCTTTTTACTGAAAAGTGAAAACAGACTAGGGAATCCTTTAGTTTAGACCTCCACAAATACAGTATGTTGTGAAATGCATGTCATTCTTGTTCATGTGCTGATTTTTTCTTTTTTTTCTTTCAAAATTGTGTAGCCTTAACTTCTAAGCCAAACTGAGTATTGCGGTTATCCCAAAGTAACTGTTTTACTTAAGTAGCCCCCACACTGCTGCTGAAAATATATCAGAGCCATCTTGACAACATCTTGTTTGATTTGAGGTTGTATCTATCACAATCTTTTGTGGGTCATTCCACCTGACATAGGGGCTGATTACTACCTGTGAAACACTTGTCCAGTCGTTTGAGTCGGCCTGGATCAATATGTGATCTAATCGAGCATTAAAAGCCCTGGAACGAGAGATGGATCTTGGGATTCTGACACTGAGCAATAGATGAACAGAATCCTGCAGAAATGGATTTCTCTCCAGCTCAAAAGTCAATATGAAAGTCCAGACGTGTGGAGCAATATGAGAGGTGTAGAAGTGGAACTGCAGAGCCTTTGAAATACAATGTGCTCATCAACATAATGTGATATCATCATAGAAAAAGCTTATTTCAATATTTGAGAGTGAATGTTTTTTTGTGGTTTAAAATGGTATTGTTGTTTCTGGTCTTGCTCAAATAGTTCCTCACAGTGTAGTGCCCGTCTTTTATACTAGACCACGCCAGAAAGGAGGTGGTATGAAGTAACTGGCTGAGCCTCTTGTGTTTCTCTTAAACAATAAACTTTAATCCTGTTCTAATGGTGTCAGGTGATCCCATTGTATCAGCGATCAATAGATGAATGTGCAGAGTCTGCAGACAAAACATGATAAGGTCATTAAGTTCATGTTGGATACCTTAAGCGAGATACACGTCTTCTTGTATTATTACAATTACCGGAAAGTAGGCATGTACTGTATCACCCTTTCTATTAGAAATTGTCGGATATTGGTATTTTCATGCCGATTGTTTCAGAATCCAGAGAAACCAATGGCCGATAAGCTCTGCCAATATTTTTGGGCGATTTTTGACTAGTTTTCTCAAATTATGTAATTTAATTCCGCAACCAGCTCCACAGCCCTTTTTTTTTTTTTTTTTTTTTTTTTTTTTTACCACAAACCCGTTTTTTAATTTGTAGTGGCTCTGAATTTAGCAAAGATTGAAAACGATTTAAGAATTTGTATTTTTTTTTCAACAGTGCAACTTCAGTATTAAAGGAGCAGTAGTTGGTCTTCACATTCTGTTGCACACATTCATTTCACTACCTGTTTAATATGGCTTCACGCGTTTCTAGGCTTTACATGCAGTGGTTTGTCTCTGATCCAGATCCCACCTGACTTCCCCTGTGTACCGGCCAAGCGTTAAATCCCACCAATCCTGCATATGTGATCAAGTGGGGGGTCTCGTTGCGGAAAGGCGCTGTTCGAATTCAGTTTGTCAAGAGGGCCAGACGTCTTGACTTGAATTTATATCAGTATGGCGTCAAGTGCTCGTGTGACAGTCTCAAAGTGGAGATGCACTCAAGTTTAGCTGACATGCAGTTAGCTTGTGTAGCCTGCTGTTTTCTTATCATACTCATTGTCCAATTCCTCTCTCCCCCTGCCCCCATCTCCCTATTGTCTCCTCCAGGCTAAATCGTGTATCTGTCATATGTGTGGTGCCCACCTGAACAGACTCCACTCCTGCCTCTACTGTGTGTTTTTTGGCTGCTTTACGAAGAAACACATTCACGAACACGCAAAGAACAAAAGACATAATCTTGGTAAGTAACATTACAGATATCTTGAGTTTTTAATTCTAATGGGTGTCAACTATCAAACCATTTCAAACATTTGTGATAGGGGCTAGTGATGATTTTTTTTTTTTTTTTTTCAGTTTTATTTATTTATTTTTATTTTTCAAGCAGCTAAAGTAAAAATCCTTAGTCATTCATAAACAACACTGAATAAAATTTTTATCTGCAACTCACAATTTCCACTCGATGACAGTTCAGTGTTCTGTACCTTGTGGAAAGAAGAGTAAACCAATCACAGTCCAGTGTGAACTCTCAGAGGAAGCAAATAGCTCAAAAATGAAGTAATTAAAATGAAGTAATGAGGTGCATTGATTAAAACGATCAAGCAAATTGGTGGTAATCACTTGACATGTCAGTGGCATTACAGTCATCGTTGATAACTTTTCTAATAGATCATTGTAGCACAAGCGATTTCACAATGTAATGTTAAATTTAGTTTCAGAAAATACACAGTCCACTTAATGCTGATGGCCAAATGACCCCATTTTGAATCATATTGAGGACTCTGCGATAAAACAGATTTTAATCTAACTGTCAGTGATTATCTTGGGGCTTTTTAAATCTTTTTAATGTCTATTTTATTCAGACGTTTTTGTCAATATCGTTTTGTATTAAATGGTACAGATTAGAGATCTGTGTTGTTTATGTTTGTGAAATTTGAGACTGACAACTATGTTTATAAGGAAAACTAAAATCACAATTCATGATCAATGCTTTCTTTTTATTGTCTTTTTTTCCCCCAAATCACCAAGCCACAATCCAACCATTTGTCTACCTCATAACGTCACCTACCCCCTCCCTCCCCTATGCAGCATCAGCTATTATCAGTGAGGGATTACAACATCACTATAGACAACTTCCTCCTCTGAGCTGAACTCCACTCCAACTGCAGCGCATTAGACCTTATCCAGTCAAATGTCATCAACAATTTAAGCCAGTCTACTCCCTGTACACCTGCAAAGCTGAATAAGTCTGTCGCTTCCAGCCCTTTGAGTTTTAACCTCACATCTTAATTATGCCAAGTCAGTTTTGCTAATTAACAAGATCTCTTATTAACCTGACAAGACACTCTAATGGCACAAAACAAAGGAAATTATGAAAAGGCAGCTTTCAATGGGTGTAATTTTTTTTTAGCACGACCCAAGAGCAAAGTCCATGTTAATTAAGAGTTTTCTGCCAGACAGAACTGCTCTCTTCAGTGACAACCTTTCATATTTATTTTAGCTGGTACTAATGACAACCTTTTATATGTAGACGCTTTTGAAGTCCTTTTTATCTTTTATCTCTCATAAAATAATGCACGCTGTTTGCTTTTTCTTGCACAAAACAGTTTTTAGGTTTTCTATGAAAACAAATGAATACACGAATAACACAGATATCTTCTTTGCATTGTCAGTTACAGAGCATGTATTTGGGAGCAATATGTGAACATTTTGCCCTCAAAGAGAGCTCTGCTCCCTTTCTTTCAAAGTAGAAAGGGAGCAGACTTTAATATCTAGCTTGTAATTTTATGCCTGATTACTGTAATGTATGCTCTACCATAAAATAAAATTTCCATGTCAAATAATGATATATTGGCTACATTTTTATGCGTGGGTACTGGCTAGAGCCAAAAACAGAAAAAACAACGTCCAATCGCTAAAAATAGGTTGTCACGGCAACAGAACAGAGGTACGGTACTGGAGCTGCACTGAGTTTGAGAATGAAAAGGGTTGGTTTGAAACCACAGGTGAATGACACGAATTCATCCTCACTGCCCATGTCAAAATAGTTCTTGGCAAATTAGCTCTTTAAAAACTAATATTCATTATCTCTGTTCCAGCAATAGACCTATTATACGGTGGAATATATTGTTTTGTGTGTCAAGACTACATATACGACAAAGACATGGAGCAGATTGCCAAAGAGGAGCAGAGGAAAGCGTGGAAATTACAAGGTAGAAAAGCTGTAAAATAATGTCTCAGCTTCACTGATTTTTTTTTTTTTTTTACATAATTATTCTATATATTACTGTTTTCACATTTTGTCTCTGTTCAGGCATTGGGGAAAATATACCACGTGGGAGCCGACCAAAAGGGAACTAGAATTATTACGACACAATCCAAAGCGAAGGAAAATCACTACAAACTGTACAATAGGTAGGTAATGGAATACTGTACACCACTATATTATGTCCTGGAGTTGGACATACAATTAAATGTGCAATCAAAGTGGAGCTGTATTGGCCAGCGCTCCAGCGGTGAGAGATGGAGGACATGGTGTTCTTTCTCTAATCGAGGCTGAAGGCTTGTGCTCATTTGTGCTTTAATCAATTGACTGTTTGGTTCAATTTGGTCTCTTTCTGCCCTCTACATTGTGTTTTACTCATTTTCCTTATAAATCTGGAAATTAATTGGTTATCTTGTTTGGCAATTGACTACATGCAAATCTTTAAGCTGATGCCAGGCACTCTGTTCCTGAAGCAGCCTTTGTGCTTTTTGGGCTTCCACCAGGATCATGCTGTGTCTCACCTGTTTCCTGGTCTTTTGGTCAGGAGTCTAGACTCTCTCTCTCCTTTAATGAACCCATTCACAGTTTGGTTGTCTGTTCCAGGCTACACACTGCCTCTGTGCCAAACACACTACATAGTGCATGTAGGCAGGCTCATTACTGATCATCATTCTGTTCATAATCAGAACAAATGTCATAATGTGATTGTTAGTAATGCACAAATAGATAGTACTATATCTCAATACATGTTTAAACATACTGATAATGTGCTCTGATTTGCTGTATCATTATGTTGCTTTATTTAGCAGGTCTAGCCCATCTTAAATAAAATGCTCCCTTTGTTTGTCTCTTTCAGGTTTACGAGGGTTAATAAACCTGGGGAACACGTGCTTCATGAACTGTATTGTTCAGGCCTTAACGCACACACCTTTGCTGCGAGACTTCTTCCTCTCCGACAGACACAAGTGCGAGATGCAATCAAACTCCTGTCTGGTGTGTGAGATGTCGCAGCTTTTTCAGGAGGTATGATGCAATGAGAGAAAAAAAAAACTGTCACATTTATTCCTGCAATTCCACAGTGAGATTCAAAGCTTGTTAAAGTGAAACCATGAAGTAAGACTTCCCAACAAAAATACAGTGGATTAGAGAATGTCCTTGTGTACACCAGAGGGCTGAGTCACTGCTCTAGTCTTAAGTTGTGAAAAGGGCAAAATTGAGATAGAGAGGCAAAGCTACAGACACAATGGTGGATTTACATATTCGTTCTGACCAGTGATGGAGACCCATGCTGCATTTAATACCGATTTCTAAATAAACATATTGGAGTTAGATTGTATCCCTCCAATTTCTGTCACTCTGCTTGGCCCTGTTCTTACGCTTCTCCACACACAGATGGCAAATGATGACAATAATGTGTAGACACAACATAAAGAACACGATCCTTGCCCATTACAACTGATGCTTTAGTTATCTCACCTCTTATTCTTCACTATATAGTCAGTTTTCTTAAACTCCACCCCCTCTAGTGTATCCCAAGGGTCATAAAGACATTGTGTAAAAGTGTCAAGGCTCTGTATGTATTTTGCATATCATGCATGTGTCACCATAATAGAGGACCCTACAGAGATGGAAGGTGAAGCTTGTATTTCTGTTGAATTTTAATAACATAAATGATCCTTTTCTGGTCTTTTGCTCAGTGTTCAGTGAGTGTATTTTGTACCATCTTGCCATCACTAGTTTCTCTCAGCTACTTTGATACCTGCATTACCTGGCCCTGAAATAGATTGTCACTCACCTCCATCCCCATGGCAACGCTGAGACACTGCAATGCATCATAGAAGGATGTTCATACTGCTGCACTCTTATTTCCCATCTTTCGGACCACTTTGTCTTTGCTTCCTTTAACCTCATGGGCCTCCTTCAGCTGGTTCTTTTGGTGATGTGTCATTCCTCCATTGACTGTGGCAGAAGGCAGTTAAGAGTCAGACACTCATTGAGACTGATGGCTCCAGTGCTGTCACAATCTCACAGTGAATAATGGATGACATCGCTGATAAAACATAACTCAACATGCGTCACCTGGAAAAATAGGTTAACCCCATATCTCATTTGTCTTCCCTGTGTACAGTTTTACTCGGGACACCGCTCACCCCACATTCCCTTTCGGCTGCTGCACCTGGTGTGGACACATGCACGGCACCTCGCGGGCTACGAGCAGCAAGATGCCCACGAGTTCCTCATCGCGGCGCTGGATGTACTGCACAGGCACTGCAAAGGAGACACCATCAGTAAGCCTTAACCGTACAAATGATTATCAGAGAAGATGTCATTACATAAAAGAATAATCCAGAAGGGCCGCACCATTAAGTGTAATTACAGAAATAATTTGTGTTTTAGAATTTGCTCCTGTGAACTGAATCTTGATTTGAAAATCAAAATTCTAATCTCAATACTTGACATAAATTACATTTTCTTTATTCACAACTGGCAATTCTGCAATACTGTATTTTAGATGTTGACTGTTTTTATATTAATGCAAACATTTGGTATTCATATTCATTCTCATTCTGTAGCTATAGTATGAATTCTCCCTAGCTAACCTTAGACTGAAATATAGATGCATAGAAAACACCATGTGGCCTTCTTATTTTGATACATGGTTTTAAACAGTCAGATCAGAGCTAAGAGATGTACCCACAGAGTGCAGTGCCTATGCTACTGAAGGAGACTGACAATGTGAGCACCAGGGGATTGCGAGTGAGCAGTGTGAGGAATTTCAATAGGGCCTGCTGCAGTGCAATGACAGGCTGACTCACCCCCGCACCCCGCAGTAAGCCTCCCTCTGATTGGCTGCGGGCACTCTGGACAGTTGTAAAGTGCCAGTTATGCTGCACCACAGGGCGACACTATAAGTGAGAAAGAGGGGCAAAGAGTCCTTCAGAGGTGCTAAAGGGGTTGTCTCTTTGATTCCCTTGTGTATTTATACTCTGTCTTTTGCAGGAGATGACAACGGGAAGAAGGCCAACAATCCAAATCACTGTAACTGCATCATAGACCAAATCTTCACTGGTGGCCTGCAATCAGATGTTACCTGCCAAGTTTGCCAGTAAGATAATATAATAAACATTATGTTATGCACGCTCAACCAATCTACTTGCAGTGGTCTTTTGTATATACAAAGGCAACAGGAAAGATGGAGGGTGACCCCGTATGACCTTTAAAAATGCCATCCCAACATTGTTGCTGAAAAAAGCAATATATTGTTAATGTCACATGTAAATTTGGAGGAATATTGTGAGCTTCTTCATTGATTGGCATATTATAGCTGGGGCGAGCGACATTTGCAAAAATAAATATTTTTTACTACTTTACTACAATTAAAGTATGTTGGATAAATTCTGTTCATGATAAGTTAGTCATATTGATGCTAGAAATTTGCTAAAATGTCTCTTTTAAAAGTCATGGGTAAGTGAATGGACTGCAAAATTAAGGAAATATCACTTTTTGCTATTGAAACTGAAATCTCTATTATTTTTATATTTAATCATATCTATTTGTCGCTGTGTTTGATAAGTTATACAATATTATCAAAACAGCAATCACAAGTTTTTTGTATTCAGTTCTTCTGATGTAATTATTGTAGACAGCAGAATCCTCAAAGTGTACCAATCAGCTTATCCTGTCCTGTCTTGTGATATTATTTAAAGATAAGGTCCCAGTGCTCTCACTGTATGGGAACAGAACAGACAGCAGCATAAAGCGAGCGTGCCTCTCCAGAGCTATCCTGTCACATTAGTGCTACCAAATACATTGGGCTCATTCTAACAGGCAGGCTCCATCAATCTCATTTCACCTGCCTCTATCACAAAGTAATTTCTAATTTCCATGAGATCAATTGAGTTCTTGTCAACAACCATCTCCTGGTTGGACAAAGTACTGCAGCCACACAAGTCTTGTAGTTGGCAGTAACAGAATGTAATGATATGTTCCTGTGTGTATTATTTTTCCATTATAGCTATAATCCATCACAATATATTACAATCCCTGTAGTTATTAATTGAGCTGGAGGACAGGTCAGAATTGTAGGGTAAAATTTCCTGTTTAGCTGTCTAAATGCAGATTTGTTGGCACGGTATATGATAAATATTTTTAGAATACACATGAAACAAAAACTGGCATAAAGGCCAAACCTGCTGTTACAAAGTGGAAATATTCTTTTACAATAGCTTGTGAAAGTGGTGTTGTTATTCACTTCCAAAGATGTGACTGTTGACAGCTGAAAGGAGACTTTGTGGAACCAAACAAATAATCTAATACCTAACAAATAATGATAAAGTTCAACATTTGTGAATCATAAGTTTGGATGTGTTGTTTTTTCTTTTTGCAAAAACAGTGAATTTTCCAAGTTGCTGTGTATATATAATGTGTGTATATATAATGTGTGTATATATATGTATATATATGTATGTATATATATATATATATATATATATATATATATATATATATATATATATATATATATATATATATATATATATATATATATATATATATATATATATATATATATATATATATATATATATATATATATATATATATATATATATATATATATATAAAATATATATGTACTTGCCCTCCACCTGAAATTATGACAAAATAATCAAATTATAGTGCCTGAACACAACCTAACTATTGTTTGTATAAAGCCAATTTATCAGTGATGTAATTCACTGAATTGCAAATGATCTGGGCAGAACATTGTGAATATTATGCACATGCACACTCTGGATCTTGAGTAGGATTTGTTGGAAACATGACCAGAATCCACACAGGCTTTGCTCAGGGTTTTTACTCTCTTGATGTGTTGCCATCGATGCCACCCCTCCCCATGACTTATTCATGAAATCTATACGCCTCAGAATGCACACAACCTCGTTATTCTTGACCATGCTCCATTTTCTTCTCCCTACAGTGGGGTTTCCACGACGATAGATCCCTTCTGGGATATCAGTCTGGACCTGCCAGGTTCATCCACGCCTTTCTGGCCCCTCAGTCCAGGAGGAGACGGCAGCACCGTGAACGGGGAGAGCCACCTGTCAGGGGCCACCACACTAACAGACTGCCTTCGAAGGTGCACTAGTCTTTCTCTCAGCATTGATTTGACTCTGCAGCGACTCGTCAATAGTTGCACGATGTGGACACAGAACAAGTACATCTCTCAGAAATATAAGTGGTAGTGGCCAGTATCAGGGGTTTCAGCTTCTTGTTATAGGTGCCATTTTGAGGACTTCTATCCATGCACAAGATGTAATTTGTAAAAAATTTATTGTTATAGCAACAGTCCCTATTTTTCACTAAAACCCTTGGATATGTTATGACCCTGCAACAGACAGATGTATGCTTCAGTGCATCATTCAGAGATCATTTGAGTTTCAGTTGTTATTGAACTGAATACAGTATGTCACAAAAATAAAACCACAAGGAGTTTCATTGTCTGTTAACTGTTATACACATATTCCTTTTCATTCATCATTAATCTGCAGCCTATTTCATTTGTTTATGAACGGTGTTTTTATACGTGTCCATATATCGGGTTGATTTTTCCTCTCACCCCTTCCATCTATAACTGTCCAATTCAAGCACTTTAATATCATTAATTTTAGCTCCTAAATCTCATATGAGGTGCACTTCAAACCTCTCTTGTACCCCTCATCTGTGAGCATCAGCAGGTTGCTAGAGCAGGTGCGACCTCCCATATCCTTTACTGTCTATTCATTATAGCAAATTGTCTTCCCCTTCTTTTTCTCCTTTTTCCCTCCTCCCCTCTTCTTTCTCTCAGCATTCACCCCCCATGTATCTCATCTCCTCCCTCTCTCATTTCTTGCCTTCTTTGCCTCCGATTTTTTTTTTCTGCTGCAGCTTTGCTCACACGCCTAGTTGCTGCAGCAAGTCTCTTAAAGGTACAGAAAGTGGTTAGTGCTGTTGCCATGGTGACGGGGGTTGGTAATACCAGGGTTTTAGGTTTAGATGCGCTTGTAACCAGGCCTGTTTCATATGCAACCTACTTATTGTTATTCGACTATTAGATTTTTTATGTCAACATATTTTGTTGTTCTTTGTCCCATTGCAAATTATTCTGTCCATCTATGATTTTGAATGTGACAGAAACCTTTTTCATTTATTGATTTGAATTTTCTTTTTTGCCATGTGCAGTCAGTGACATTTAGAAGTTCAGTTATTTAGTTAATTCTTTATCAATGCACCTTTTTATAATTTTACCTCTCAACATTTATTTTTTGTCCTTGTCTCTGCAGGTTTACACGGCCAGAGCATCTAGGAAGCAGTGCCAAAATTAAGTGTGGCGGTTGCCATAGTTACCAGGAGTCGACTAAACAGCTGACAATGAAGAAGCTCCCCATCGTAGCATGTTTCCATCTCAAAGTGAGTCAGCCTGAGAGCAGTATGCTGACAGCTATCACTTGTTACATTAACTCACTGTCTCACAACTCCAGGTGCATTTTAAGCAGATCTTGTTTTGACTGTTTAAAAATACAACAATAACAACATTTTACAGAAAGATTTCTTGACTCAGAATGGCAATTCAATGGGCTGACCTCAGATATCTGTTCAATGCTTAAGCTTTATTTGTCATACAATACAAAATTTCCCTCCCTAATCACCTACAAATGCATACAATTTATCAAACCGCAAGATCATGAGGGTGACGTTAGAAGGATGTTCATGTGTGATGGAGAGCTGGAGTAGCAGCCATTTTCTTATCTGTAGAAATGTTGATGTTATTGTAATGATGCAAACTGATATGTCTAAATGTGCTCTCTCTCCCCTCCCCCCTCTTGTTTTCCATTTTTTCCTCCTTCACCCCCTTCCTCTTCCTTCTGACCATCTCCAGCGGTTTGAGCACTCTGCAAAACTGCGGAGGAAGATTACCACATATGTTTCCTTTCCTTTAGAGTTAGACATGACACCTTTTATGGCATCCAGGTAAGCAGCCTATTGGTATATTAGCAGTAAAGCTGTTCATAGAATAGGTATGCATTATTAAAAGAAGGACAATGAGAAAACAAGAAATGGCACATAAGTGTTTTTACAGTATTTGAGCCTGTTTCTGAAAATATGTCATTGCTGGTGGAGCCTGCAGCAGTCTTGCCCCACCCTGACTCTAGCTTTCATTCAGCTCAAAGGGATGTGGGGATGCTCATGGTACAGCAGAGATGGCATTTTACCTTTAGAGTTTGTAATATGCTGCCATCTAGTGGACATAAGAAACCTTGTTACTCTTCACACATAATTGGAATTAACTGGCAAAGTATTAAATTTTTCAAGAGACGCTATATAAGTTTTCACATGGTGGAAACCTAGTTTTCTTCATGGATTTCATTGTTTTCCCTTTGTTTTATGTTTTATATTCCAGAGAATGGAATAAAACTTGATAAACTCTGTACAGACAAGCAATTGACTAGACAAAATTAAAAGTATACACATACCGAGGAACATTACAGGCAAAGAAATCAAATTTTCAGGTTCCTTACACACAGTTATGCATATTGTAAGTTTAATTTAACTGTAATCATTCTGTGTAATATATTAATAGTAAGCACTGTGTTTCAGGTATATAACTGAAATAATTTCATGTCTCAACAATTTCTAATTTTCCTTGCACCTTTTTTTCTCTCTTCATCCCTACACAGTAAAGAAAGCAGAATGAATGGCCAGTATCAACAGACAGTCGACGTATTAAATAATGACAATAAGTAAGTACATGGTATTCATGATGCAGTTGCTGTAATGTAGGCTGTAACAGTGTTGCATGATGGTACTTTTTAATGAGCCTAACCATCCAGCTGTGACTTCCAAAAGTGAAATGTAATTGAAGTCTATTAAAAGCTGCTTTGTTTCTTCAACCATGACAATTGAAATAGATTAGATTTTGTAGGACATTTACTTTGCTAGCACCGTGACACATGCAGGGTCAGAGCATGTCTAACTGGTGACTGAACAGATGATAATGACTGATTTGATGTACTGCTTTTACAGGTATTCGTTGTTTGCAGTGGTAAATCACCAAGGCACATTAGAAAGTGGACACTATACTAGCTTCATTCGTCAGCACAAAGACCAGTGGTTTAAATGCGACGATGCCATAATCACTAAGGCCAGCATCAAGGACGTACTTGACAGTGAAGGGTAAGACTAAACCACAGACACGTGTCATAGGGGCACTTCATTCTACCCCCACAAGACCCACTCCAGCCAGTCTCTTGTGACATCACTTGGTGTCAAATCTCAAACAATACTCAAGTCTTTTTTCAATTCAATGTTAAAACCAATGGAGATTTTTAGCAACTTTTGCCAATCTATCTCTCTGGACATTTGATACATGAGTCTGTAATGTAAACCTCTATAGACCTACATCAGCAATGTCATTGTACATTATTCTAACAAGGATTGTCAAAAGTATCACAAAGTACTTATCAGTACTCATCAGCAAGTAAAAAAATTCACATTAACAGGGCAAAATCTGACCTGCTTTCAAATGGTCACGACATTTATCAGGACTAGTCCACACTGACCCCGTAAGACTACTTAGTAACAAAAAGTACTATTATTATGTGTTTACTACTCGTACTTTATGTAAAACAACATTTTTCATTATTGCGGTATTGAAATTGGTATTGAGAAACTTAATTTTAAAAATTGTATTGTGTCATTAATTCTAAATCGTTGTCTTTTTGTTTACAGGTATCTCTTATTCTACCATAAACAGTTCCTTGAATACGAATAGTGTGTTTGGAGACTGACCAGAATGACAACCACTGCGTCTGAGGGGACTAGGGGACAGGATTGAAAACACACAAACCTACCTGAATCTCTCTTGACTACCAGTTTGCTTCTCCAGCACTAGGAGGACAGCAAATATAAACCGTGTGTAATCATGCAACCTTAAAAAAAAACAAACAAGCACTGAGCTACTTTTAGGCATCTACTTGACAAGTGAACAAGGAGAGAAGGAGGAAGGTCTTTGGAGGAGGACCTTGTCTGCTGTCCCCTGTTACCTGCTGCATAGGCGGAGCGTTTGTCAGAGGGCACATCACAGTATTTCAAACCCCCTATCACCACCACCATCTCTCTACCATTTCTCTCCATGGTGCTCTTGTTTCAACTTAACAAGCATTTAAACTTGATGGAAGACAGTCCAGCTCATATGCATATACAGTTAAAGGGACTGAGCGCAAAAAATGAATAAAATCAATGTATTATTATGAACTTGAAAACAGAAGACATTTTTTAAAGCTATGGTTATTATCATTTGTGAATTTAGTTATCAAATACTGTATGAATCTAGTATGCATCTATTTTTAACAGGAAAAAATGTGGGAGAATCTAAAGATGCTGCCTTTGCCAGTTGCTGGGGAAGCGCTGCTATGGAAACAGATTTGGACCTAAGTGTGCTCATGATCCTTTATTTACTGTTGTTTTATTTTTACGTCTTGATTGAGGGCAGGGAATATATTTTTTTAACGACACATTGAATTTTTTTGTTTACTCTTTTCCTTTTTCAGTACAGTCACGTGTACTTTGTTGTCTTAGTACTGGAAATGTTATATTATACTTTCATTCTTGTGGAATTGTGGGTATAATGATGGCAATGATTAAATTGACTTGTATGTTGAATGTTGAGCTTTTGAGTTTTGTAAGACAATGTGAACACTTATGTATACAGTATCGGTATAGGGGGAGCGCTGTGGTTTGTCCTCAACGTACAGTTCAACAATCTGTGCAAATGCAATGCTTCTTACTGGACACTCAGATCTCGCAAAATGTGAAAACCACCCCAATAATGCCTCAAGGCTTGCAGCTCGTCACCATATCTCTGACATTTTATCTTTGTGCAATATGAGAGGGTTACTCACATGCTGTCTTAAGGCGGCCATAGCCTGCCTCACAATCCATCAGTGTTAATATTCTCCATGGCAACTGTGTGGTTGGTGTGGTGTGGACCCGAGTGGTTTGTGATGTCTTCTGCAGTGCAGTAAAGCCAGTGTCAGACCAGTAAGACCTTGAGTAATGCTTATTCATATCACATGTTTTATTTGATTGTTTAAAAAAGGTCCCACGTGTTTAAGATAAACATCCTAAACTGTCACATTCAAATATCACAAGCCCACAATGTTAAGCTGCTCTGTTTTCTGCATACTGACACCATATTCTTTTGGTCTGCTTCTAGACTGATATCAAAGATGTGTACCAATGGCTCTATTGCATATCACAGTGGAGCAGCTGAGGCTAGCTAAGGACATTCAGGGATGCAGCTGAAACGGACAGGAGAGCTTCATTAAACGTTTCAGTGATTAAACTCAGAACAAAACTGGAAAGTCTCTGGGCCATGCTTTGTCTCTTCTTTCACTCTTCAGGCACCAGTTGTCAAAGCTTACAGGACTAACTCTGGTAATTCATCAGTGATTACAGAATATGGTTTACATTTCAAATAGCATACAGGCCTAGATACACCCTTTACTACCAGGGTTTTGATAAATTATTTATTGTTTTGTATTTCGCATCCATTTTCATATCTTTGAATCTGGCGCCACACTGTGGTCAAATGATACCATGACAAACGTTCATGGCTTGTTGGATGTACAATTTCATATTTTCTTTGAGCACTCTTTTGTACCAATACATGGCTCCTTTTCCTGTATTCTAGCTAAAATGTTTCCACTTAAAAAAAAAAAAAAAATACAGCAGTGAGGAGAGCCGCCTTAAGATACATTTTATTACAGACAGGTAAACAATAGACAACCAACAATAAATCAATAACATTTTATTTCTCCCCAAGGGGCATTTAAGCACATCCAGCAGTAAAATACAATAATAAGAGAAAATAAATTAACTCTCCACAACAATACATATAACGCCACAGAACTGCCACATGAACATTTTTGAAAATAGTATTCAGTATAAATTTAGGTAACAATAAAAATGCTACGATGTGTATTGTCCTGCTACAATAATACATCATGCCAATGTACTTTACATATATACAATCTCTAAAATACAGTTAATATTCTCTTCATTTCTATTCGTTTAACTTTGTGTAAGATTCAAGGTAGACATATTTTTCATGTTCACCACTTCTTACAAGCAACATTGAAGCTGTAATTTCAGTAAATTGTCTTCGTAGAATGATCACAAACTACATACTAAAAGTTCTGCAATGATAGCATGCACAAAAATGCATCTAAGCTATGCATAATTGAATTCATGTCATAAATGAATGGAACAATATGGGAACATCAAATGCCCTGTAGATTAAAAGTGCACTATATAACTTTTCTGGTAGGGAGGGGGTCAGCCACCTGCTTGTTTCCATGAAGATATTATTTTGTCGTATATGTTTATCTTATAGGTCTTTTAATTATGACTTATCTATATTTTTCTTTTTTCTTTTTTTTTTTTTCAGGTGCAAAGTGCATTGGTAAAACAGCCATTCTGTGAGTTCAGTTGCCTCTACACAGGTCTGACCTCTGTCTTGACCTGGTAGTATCACCTGCCTGACAACAACGACATATCCATGGAGACACGCAGGTGGCCGATCTTCCACCAGAAAGAAGTAGCATAGAGCCCCTTTAAGTGTTCTAGCCCTTCTCAAATTCATATCTGGCTGACATGCAGAGTGGTTGGTGCCTGCCTTGATAGTACTCCAGATTTGCCCAGACTCGCAGATGAGTGGCAGAAGAGGAGATTTACAAGTGCAGTGAGCCTTAGCAGCACTAGTCTCACCAGAGTCAACACACAGCAGGCTGACTGTTATGTTGTACACTGCACATACTCATGGAAACAAACACCATAGTAGAATAATTATATAAAAAATGTACATTAGATTGATGGATTTTCTACAGTTTAGCAGCACTTTGGTTAAAGGCATTTCTTCACACAGACACAGTGCAAGAAACTGTAATCAGGCACAAAACAGCCATACATTCTGCTATTGACCAGACGTGTTCATTTACATTTTGTGGGTGTTAAATTGCCCAATTCTTTTACACAAAAATCAATAGCACACGTCGAGTACTGAACATGATCATTACTTATTCACAAGTATGATTTACAGCTTTGAAACAACGCCTCGAAGTCCACAAAAGGTTGAAGGGTGCAATGCCCAAGTGTTATATATTCTACTGTATATCTACACTAGAAAATAACCAGTTGTACAACTTTATACATCCTTGGAACTTTACAACTCCAGTAACAAAAATGACACACAGGTCTGCTGATGTTTTAAATATGATAGTGATAAATATTTTAAAAATCTGAGACATGGGTAACGGAACACAATCATTTTACAGTATAAAAGAGGCAGTTACAATTTATCCAATTACAAACTCTTCAATATAGTGTGTTTTTTTGTTTTTTTTTGTAAACTCTTACAAACAAATACTCTACGCAAAACTGCTGCAGGCAAGGACTTGGTTGCTGCAGTTACCTTGTAAGGAATTTATGGGAATATTATTGTGATATTACTTTGTATTATATATATATTCCATAATTTAGATTTATTTGAAGATGAAGTATTGATTTGTCCAATGAAAATGTTATTCACAAGTTACAATTTCACTCTGAGAAAAACAGTAGGCAGTGTTTGTTCTTTGTAACAACAGTAACACATATAACCACAATTGGAGACAGCTGTTAGATGCTAGTTTGCAGATCTCCATTAAAAAGTGTGCTCTGCGTCTCTGTGGGGTCATTGATCATGCGTGACTTATCCTGTCTGCTATCACTGCGCTCCGCCTCGTCCAGCCCTCCCACTTTTTTCAAGCACAAAACATTCTGGAAACTCTTTTTGAAGTTTTCCGACAGAAACGCGTACAGTATGGGGTTGGCGCAGCTGTTGGCGTACCCCAGGACGACCACGAAAGCAAAGGTAGATCTCAGGAAGGGCGTGGTGGAGAGGGTGCCCGTCACTGAAGTCACATTGAAGACGTAGAAAGGCAGCCAGCAGAAGACAAAGACGGCGACTACGATTGACACCATCCGTGTAACTTTTCGCTCAGATTTTTTCCTCTTCGAAGATCCGACACGAATTCCTGAAGATTTGACTTTTATAATGATCAACAGGTAGCACAAACAGATCACCAGTAGAGGCAAGAAAAACCCCAACACAAATGTATAGAACATAAACGCTGTGTAATATGCTTCTTCTGGCTCGGGCCAAACTATAGTGCAAGAACACCCATCATGCTTTGTAATAACTCCACTGTAGATAACAATAGGCAGGTTGACCATTAGCGAAATGCCCCACACTGCTAAATTGATGATCTTGGCCATACGTGGTTTCCGCCATTTTGTAGACTTGATTGGATGCACCACAGCCAAGTAGCGGTCAATACTCATGACCATAAGGCAGAAGATTGACGTGAATTGGTTCAAAGAGTCCACTGTCATCACAACTCGACATAAAACTGGGCCGAAGGGCCAGTGAACAAGAGCCAGTTGGATGGCTATAAACGGCAAACCCAGCATGAACAAAACATCTGCAACTGCGAGATTGAGAATGTAGATATTTGTAACGGTTTTCATCTTAGCGTAGCGGAGGATGACATAAATGACCAAAGCGTTTCCGCAAAGTCCAACGGTGCAAACCAGGAAGTACATGCACGTGATGACAATGGTACTGGTCTGGTTGAAGCCATAGTCCGTGTAGTTACCAAAATTGGAGTCGGATTCATTTTGCAGAAAGCTGTCGTACATGAAGTGTTCAGAGAGATTTGGAGGAGCAGAGGGGAAGATCCAGGAGGCCATGGCACCTCAGCGTGGTTCCGCCTGATAGTGATGTCCCATCTGCTCTGCCAAAGACCTGCAGTGGATACAAAATCACTGTCAAAGCGCATATTTCTGGAGATGCACAAGAATATAACTGAAAATGTAACTGCTGTGTGTGTAGTATAGTGATTGATCATTTTTTTCAGTTTGTTTCTGTTATTATAATATTCTACTACATTTAAACAAACTTTTAATGTACACAAAAATAACTCTTATGAGCACTACACTCTGCTATAATGCTGTTACCTCTTCAAATACTTACATATTTTGTTTGATTCACATGTTTCAGTAACCATTTATTATTAGCCTGTCTACCTCCAGTCTCTGTCTACATCTCCAAAGTTCAAAATGCTCTGTTCCACCTTGTGATGTCAAGAAGAAGTAGTTTTCAAGTTACCTTTTACCTTTGTAGTAGTGATTAGCAACTCCGGGGCTGAAGTTATCCACATGATTCTAATGAAGTTGTATGGAGTTTAAAAACACTGTAGAGCGCTTCCTGTATTACCACATGACATCACAGGGTGGAACAGAGTGTTTTCAGTTTGAGAGAAGAACTCAGCCTAAATATGCAGGGTTTGTGTGTTAAATGCATGAATGAAAGACAACACAACTCCAGCTATGTTTTTGATGAGAAAAGAACGTTATAAAATAGATCAGAGAATGGCGTAATATGGGCCCTTTAAGTAACTGCTAAAATTCCACATGTCTCCAAACCAATTGCAAAAGCTCACCCAAAACACATAATTCATTCAACTTTTTCTATTTTGTTATTTGTGCTGATCACTTTAAAGTTCACTGTGTAACTTTTTTGGTAGTGGGTCTGCTACCTGCTATGGAGATGTTATTGTATCGTCTAGAATGTTCTTCAGTGTGGCATTCAACTTTTCCATCTTCACAGACACAATCGGGTGATGCCATGCCACCAAGTCAAGTTACAGTTTAGATCTGTGGAGAGGCAACCCTGCTCACAGTAAGAACACATGTGTTCTGAGGTATATTTAAGCAATAAAATGCATGTAACTGAATAAATGCAAGATAGATAGATTTAATGCCACACTGACTTAGAGTGAGACTTTAATGATTCACAGTTGGACACAGCAGCTCACACACATTCTGAGGAACATTCTAGGCAAAGCAATAACATCTACACAAGGCAAGCAGGTGGTGTACTTCTTTAAAAAATCCTGTATATATTTTACTTTTCATTTTGGGCTTACACAAGAACCACTAATGCTTTCGTCATTAATGAAAGCTACAATCATCTAGTCACTCACTAAGGGAAATGCAATGATATTATTATAAAGTGAGTGATTCTGTTTGAGCAACTCGGGATCTACAAGATATGAATGTCCTTTCACAGACTCGGAAGAATTGACTCCACTCCAGTTTTCTCCCAATTTAGACCTTGCTAACCGTTGGTCTTGTAATCATAGACTTTGATAGATTTTTTTTTGCATTGATTTCATTTCACCACCCTCGAAGAAAATGGCTCTTTATCACATCCATCACATATTGAATTTTCAGCCCTTCCTCTCATTAAGTTGTATTGATTCAGTGCCGTATCAGTCTGTCATATGCACTTCTCATGGCAAATGTCACAGCAATGATCTCTGGAGAAAGCTTGTTTGATAGTTTTACTTCAGGCTTATCTCCCACATGTTATTGGGGCTACACTGCTGCCAAGGGAAATCACGTTGCCCAGTATAAAGCTAAATATCTCCCTGGGGGAATGAAAAACCTGCATGTGTCCCTCTCATATTGTTTGACAGTCATCTTTGCAGACAGATCATTTACTGGGCACCAGGTGTATGGGGGCTCGAGTAATTGAGAGATGAGTGCATGTCAGATTAAAGTGCGAGGCTCTGTTTGATTTAGATACATGCTAATAAAACAAAATCCTTTAGGGTGCTACTCAGGCAAGCTGTCACTGGACCCTGGTCATGGATTAATGTGAGTCATGAGTCACTATGTTGTATAATGAAGCAGTTGGACACTCATTGGGAAACATGTCTTACATAAGATAGAGATAGTGGTTTGTGCAAATTATTCATGAAAAAGTAAGTCAAAGTTTGTGCCTTTAACAGCATTAAGAAATATGTAATGGACAGTTACATTTTCCATCATTATTTCCTTTTTTATTTCTGCTGTGAGGAGACATGCAACAGGTAGGCACTATCAGTCTTGCTAGGAGTTGGTGTGGATGACTAAATCATAAGCTCCTATAGTGGCACAACGTCAGCGTTTACAAGCATTTTCTTACACAATCAACAAGTGTTTGTTCTGTAAGATTTCGTTTTAGACTCATGCATAGCCTTTTTTCATTGCTACTGTACAATCAATGACTTGTGAAATGTCAGTATTAAAAAAAACTTACCTGCTTTCAGAGCCAATGTGCCTCCAATGCCACTCTGTTAGGAATGATGAAGTCTAGCCTTTCATAATCTTTTTTTGGTTTAATTTTGCCATAACTTCTTCTTCAACCAGCCACAGATACAGTAACACATTTGTATTCAGTGTATTTCCATAAAGCAGTGTGGATCCAAAATGATGCTGCTAGATCACGGTGAGCGCGAGGAGCGGAGTGGTGGCGCGTCTGGAGTCTGGACGCTGTTGCGCGCTCTGTGCTACAGGAGAGAGTCACCTCTGACTGATCCTCGCGCGCACTCATACATACAGATGAGGGCCATTCAGACGAGACATTAACATACAAACTAACCCTATTGGGCCAACATTATAAGAGAGCAATATTTTATTTACGACAGGTTTTAAACTTGCAAACCCCACGCTGATGTAACAGTATATATGTTGATAATAATAAAGACTGGTTCAGCGAGTCACTTTCCGTTCACATAATCCATGGATAAATCCTGTTTGCTCTCTGGGTAGCCTACATATAGTGTCAGCGCACACACTTTTTCCATGCTAAATGTCACTTTGGAAAAGATTGAGCTGTCCTGTTTGCCATGCGTAAAAGTCAAGTGCGCCATATGTCTGTACAATTAAATAAACCTATAGGCTACAACACAAATAACAAGCATGCAGCCACAGAGACACTTAGAGCTGAATCACTTTGCACCTGTAACTGACAAAACTGTTTTAGAGATCGTCACCAGTCTGAGTTCATCTGCTTGCTGCCTGGACATGTTACCCACTAGATTTCTAAAGTCTGTCCTCAACAGTTTACTTTCACCACTCACTCACATAGTTAACATGTCACTTCAATCTGGAACATTCCCAAATGCGTTGAAAACTGCGGTCATTAAGCCTCTCCTAAAGAAGAGCAGTCTTGATGCCACAGTACTGAACAATTTCCGACCCATCTCAAATCTGCCGTTTTTTGGCAAAGTCCTTGAAAAAGCTGTTTACCAACAGCTTACGAACTTTCTCCAAATGAACAACTCCTTTGATGTTTTCCAGTCAGGTTTTAGAGCCCACCACAGCACTGAGACTGCTCTTATCAAGGTGACAAATGACATCCGCCTGAACACTGATGCAGGCAAAGTCTCAGTCTTGATCCTGTTAGATCTGAGTGCTGCTTTTGACACTGTCGATCATGGGATCCTCTTACAGAGACTAGAGGACTGGGTGGACATCTCTGGTTCTGTACTAAACTGGTTCAAGTCCTATCTAGAAGACAGGAAGTATTTTGTTGAAATTGGAAACTGTGTCTCAGATCACATGGCCCTGACCTGTGGGGTGCCTCAGGGGTCAATCCTGGGCCCCCTGTTGTTCAATCTCTACATGCTGCCATTAGGCCAGTTAATAAGCAGCAATAATGTGTCCTACCACAATTATGCAGATGACACTCAGATCTACGTCTCTCTGGCAGCAGGAGACTATGGACCAGTGGAGTCACTTGGTCATTGCATCCAACAGATCAGTGTGTGGATGCAAAACAACTTTCTCCAGCTAAACTCTGACAAGACTGAAGTCATAGTGTTTGGTCCACAAAAACAAAGGGACAGTGTCAGCAGTCACCTCCAGTCTCTCTCTCTAAAACCTTCAAATCAGGCAAGAAATCTCGGGGTAATAATGGACTCAGACTTGAACTTTAACAGCCACATCAAATCAATAACATCTGCAGCCTTTTACCATCTAAAAAACATAGCAAAAATCAAAGGTTTACTGTCTAAAGCAGACTTGGAGAAACTTATCCATGCGTTTGTCTCCAGTAGATTAGACTACTGTAATGGTCTGCTCACTGGTCTCTCAAAACGAGCTGTGAGACAACTGCAGAACATCCAGAACGCTGCAGCTCGGGTCCTTACTCGAACTAGGAAGTACGAGCACATAAGTCCTGTGCTCAGGTCTCTGCACTGGCTTCCTGTGCCTCAGAGAATAGACTTTAAAACAGCTCTGCTTGTGTACAAGTCTCTCCATGGCCGAGCACCAAAGTACATCTGTGACATGTTAGTGTCATATGAACCATGAACCACCTCAGGGACGGGCCTCCTGCTGGTGCCCCTTGTTTAGTCATGGACTAAACAAGGGGGAGTCAGCATTTCAGGTTTATGCAGCTAAAACCTGGAACAGTCTTCCTGAACATGTGAGACAGACTCTTCTGTGACGCTGTTTAAATCCAGGCTCATTATGTCTCTCTTTTTTAATTTTAATCTTCATGATTATTTATGTTTTGATTTGTTTTTATTATGATTTTAATGTATTTCTTATTCTGTAAAGCACTTTGAATTACTTTGTGTACGAATTGTGCTATACAAATAAACTTGCCTTGAATTGCCTTGCCTAGGCTACATTAATCAAACATAACTGTTTACAGTGTGTTGTTTTGATAAGATTCATTTGCTACAGGCTGCGTGACACGTTCCAAACCACAAGAGGCAACGCTGAGCCAATAATAAACGTACATGTTTCAGTTCCAATGGAAGTAGGCTACTAAAGGAGCGGGAAAGCGCTGTTGCGTTTAGTTGTTGACGAGGTAAATAATTATTGATTTCATCTAAATGAACAAATGGTCAACT